AATCGTGGAATACCACTATTTTTTTTTACCCGTGGCGCCACCCGTGGCGAATCGCTGAAACTACTAGCCAATTATAGGCTAGCAGTTTCAGCGATTCGCCACGGGTGGCGCCACGGGTCAAAAAAATAGTGGTATTGCACGATTAAATGCGATTTTAACAGTGTTCTGGTTGTTTATTGCAATTGTCAGTGGCAGGGGATTAATCTACGTTCGTTCAGCTACAAATCGAGTGCTTTATCTAGACGAAAGCTATCCGTATAACGGTGTAAGTGCTATCCAAAGTGGACTAAACAGGATACGCTTGATGAGTTACAGTGTCAACCGTTGAAAATAAATATGATTTTAACAATGTTCTTGTAATTACTCGTTTCCAGCCGCTAGAAAGAACTAATCTACGTTCTTCAAACTTCGAATTTAATGCGTGACGAAAAAAAATGTTGCCTGTTTAGTGGTATGTGTAATTGCAACAGGTTTTTATCGGATTTACACTGCTAAACGAGCATCAGTTTTCCTCGTCATGGATTACATTCGAAGTTTAAAGAACGCAGATTAGTACTCTCTGACAGGTGGGAACCAGTAATTACAACAACATTGTTAAAATCGCATTTGTTTGCAACGGTTGACAGTGTATCTCGCCATGCGTACCTCGTTTAGTTCACTTTGAATAGCTCTTCCATCGTTCTATGGACAAGTTACGTCTTGATCAACCATTCAGTTTGAAGTTGAAAGAATGTAGATTAATCTCCTGTCATTGATAATAACAATAAGTGTCCAGAACACTGTTAAAATCGCATTTAATTGCGGAATACCATTATTTTTTTGACCGGTGGCGCCACTGGTGGCAATTCGCGCAAACTACTAGCCAAATCATACCGACAGGTGAGTGAAAATTCCCAATGTTGGAAAAATGCAAATATCTCAGTAATTATGCGCTCAAACATAATGTTGCCAGTCTTAAATTGTTCCCCACAATTCAGTGCATCGACCAAGTGCAACTGAACCCCATAATTAGAGGAATTATTTCTACCAGTGTTAATATGTTACATATGCAGTGTTGACAGAAATGATTCTTCCGATTATGGGGTTCTGCGGTATTGAGTCGATGCACTGAGTTATCAGGAGTAATTTGAGACCAACTGTGTTCATTTTAAGCGCCTATTTACTGAGATATTCGCATTTTTCCAACATTAGGAATTTTCACTCACCTGTCGGTATGATTTGGCTAGTAGTTTGCGCGAATTGCCACGAGTGGCGCCACCGGTCAAAAAAATAGAGGTATTCCGCGATTAAATGCGATTTTAACAGTGTTCTGGTCGTTTATTGTTATTTTCAATGACAGGAGATTAATCTACGTTCTTTCAGCTTCAAACTGAATCCTTGATCCACACGTAACTTGCCCATAGAACGATGGAAGAGCTATTTAAAGTGAACTAAACGGGGTACGCATCGGTAGATAGAGTGTCAACCGTGGCAAACAATTGAGATTTTAACAATGTTCTTGTAATTACTGGTTCCCACCTACCAGAGAGTAGTAATCTGCGTTCTTTAAACTTCGAATGTAATCCATGGCGCGCAAAATTGATGCTCGTTTAACAGTGTAAATCCGATCGAAAACTATTGCAATTACATAACCACTAAACAGGTAACACTTTTCTTCGTCATGCGTTACATTCGAAGTTTAAAGAATGTAAATTAGTACCCTATAACGGCTGATTCGTCATGACCAAGCACTCAACTTGTAGCTGAAAGAACGTAGATTAATCTCCTGTCAGTAGCAATAACAATAAACGACCAGAACACTGTTAAAATCACAGTTATTTGCAATGGTTGACACTGTATCTTGTCATGCGTACACTGTTTAGTTCACTTTGCACAGCTCTGACACCGTTATACGGACAGGTTTCGTTTAGCTGAAGCACTCAATGTGTAGCTGAAAGTACGTAGATTAATCCACTCTTATTGATAATAACAATAAACGACCGGAACGCTGTTAAAATCGCAATTTTATCGCGGAATACCACTATTTTTTTGACCGGTGGCGCCATCCGTGGCAAATCGCTGAAAGTACTAGCCAATTATATGGCTAGCAGTTTCAGCGATTCACCACGGGTGGCGCCACCGGTCGAAAAAATAGTGGTATTCCGCGATTAAATGCGATTTTAACAGTGTTCTGGTCGTTTATTGTTATTTTCAATGACAGGGGATTAATCTACATTCTTTCAGCTTCAATCTGAATGTTTGGTCAACACGCGAGCTGTCAGCATAACATTGGAAGAGTAGTCGAAAGTGAACTAACCGGGGTTCGCATGACGGGATACAGTGTCAACCGTTGGAAACAAATGCGATTTTGACAATGTTCTTGTCGTTTATTGTTATTGTCATTGACAGGGGATTAATCTACGTTCTTTAAGCTACAAATTGAATGCTTGGTCAAAACGCAAGGGGCAATTTTTTGAGATATAAATCGTTAAGATACGTTAACATTCGGCGCCAACTATTTTCCGGTGGCGCCAGAGACCCTATGTGGTGTGATCGTGGGGTCATAGACCCCCCGGAGGACGCGACAGAGACCCCGTGTGTGTGAGATGTACCCTCGCGAGCAAAGTTAATGAGATATTTGACTATTGATTATTATAAAACAGATCAGGAGCAATTTTTTAGTACCATAATATTTATGTAAAAAGGTTATTTACTACCTATTTTGTTAACAACAAGTT